AGCTAGCGTGCCCACCACACTCACTGGCTGGGAGCTGCCTGGGAAGACCGTGGCCTTGGCACGAAGGCCGCAGTGGATGCGGAGCTACAGCGGCAGAAACTGTCAGCTAACAATGTTCCTCCCAGGAGGTTCTCCCTAGGACGGACTGAGCGTGCTCTCCACGGCCACCACAAACAGACTGTGACTCTGTGTCTGTTGCTAAGCAAGATTTATTAGAGATCACCATCTTGCGTCCAGAGAGAGAGGCTGCCCGTCTGCACCGAAGGGGGAGGATGCACAACTGCCAATTTTCTCCCTACAGCCTTTCTGTCCTTAAAGCTGTGGGTCTGAGCTTTTGTCAGGTGTATCTGTAAGATCGTGGTATCTACACAGTCCTAGAAAAGAGACTTGTCCTTTTGTGTCACAAATCAAGTGAAGAAACGTGATTTTGTGCCGCTATGAGACACAAATTATGCCCCTGGATGTTAATGAGAGGGATCAGAACACACACACACACACACACACACACACATTCTCTTTATAATGCCTATTACATCCACAGGACATTGGCCCTTGGTTTCATGAACCGCTTTCTGTGTATGGCCCATCACCAAATAGCAGCTTCAACTCCAAGATTCAGATCTTTCAGATGTTTGAAGATTCCTCTCTTGGCAAATAATGTGAAGCGCTCCAGGATTTGTCTGATATTTTGTGTCATTTCATTTGGAAGAATACAATGAGGCAGTGAAACTCCTTGACTAGTTTCAATGTCTCTTGGCATCTTGACTCTGGCAGGCGGAGAACAGCATCGCATGCAGAGCCATCTGCCTTCTGTGCTTGCCCCGTACGAAGGACACGTGATCTTCTGTTACGTTGTTCATCGTACTGGAGCCTAACGGGCTCCTTAGGAAATGATGTGAACGTACGCAAAACCAAAATCTGTGGTCTCTGCAACCAGTCAGAGCATGCTGTCTCTGGGATGAATGCTATGTGCATTCAGTCACAAGGAAGACCCCTATTGTCAATAGCTCTTCGCTGTTGGACCACCGGGAGCCACCCCCGCGCTGTGGATTTGAGAATCAGATGTGGAAGAGGATGGAATTTCTTAAAACCCAACTGCCAAGAGTAACTCCTCTGAAATAGAAGGGGGAAGGTAAATGGAAGAAAGAGAGGCTGTGTTTATATGAGCTGTTTTGTTCACTTCTCATCTTTTTTTTTTTTTTTTGTGACATTTTGAGGAAAGTAATCCTAGCTTTAAACCTCACAGTGAGAATGCTCTGGTTCACACCCAGCTTCAGGAAATTGGAAGAGAACAGAATGTAGTTTTGTCAGCAAGCTCATGGCATTTAGAAAATCCTATCGCATTAATGCATGAAATTCTCAAAGGGAAATGACCCCAAATCAGGTGCTTTCCTTCGGGGAACACCACACACGGGGTAGTGTAGAGGAAAAGTCCTCAGTTTCCAGCTCTCGTGTACCAGAAATAGCTAGAGAGCTGAGGAAGTGGGAGCTTCATATAATATTATTTTTCCAGAGGATTCAGCATATTTATCTCATCTGGAGATGATTTCAGGGAAAAGACAAGTTAGCGCACTATGCCTCGTCAATGTCAGAAGACCTATCATACACAAACACTCAATAATGACTTTAAAAAGTGATTATGAACTAGTTCATTTTTCAATGCAGCACACATATTACTAAATAATCCAAATTGCCTGTGACTTATGGGTATATTTGGCAACAACCACGAGTTCCCACTGTAGTGTGAAATTAACACCACAGACTGTAGCTGTGGTATTTATTGAGCACAAGGGAGCTGATTATAGCCTCATAAATTCAAAGGCAACCTCTGCTATTACTTAATTAGAATCAGTATCTATGCATACATTACAGTAGCAACAACCAGTATTGTTACGGTTAAAAATTTGTCAGCTTCCTTATTATGGGACAACCCCTTATTTTTCCACGTAAACCTATAATTTAGGGAGGTTGTAAGTTGTTTGTAAAAACGGTTCAGAGGGGGAAATGGGCACATGGTATCTGGGAGGCCACTGGTGCTTTGTTTCTAAGTAAATATTTAAAATATTAATCTTGTGCTGTTGCTTAAAAAAAAAAGAATAAAATCACTAGACCCCTAATATATCCCTAGTAATAAATCATTCTAGCTACATATGCATGTTTTTATAGTACAAAACTTTATCTGAAAATAAGTGTTGTCTTGGCACTTTTCCTCCTAGAATTGCTTTATTTTTTTTATATATATATATGGTTTTTTTCTTTATTTTTAAAATTGTTGTAAACCGAACTTTATACACATACCTACACTCCTAATGAACATTAGATTATTACCCTCCAAATCCATGTTTATTCTTTGCTAATGTGTATAATACTTTTATGTAGTTGTAATCAATGTGCACATTTTTTGGGGGAGTCCAGCTTTTTAAATTTGGGGCTTAACATTTTTTTCAAATGCACATGAGCCTCATCAATATAGTCCATACATGGTTCAGTATTCTAGCAGATTCATCTTCTAGAATATTTCAGAAAGATAAAATCATCACAGTCAAATAATATCTTTGCATCATGCAAATATATATTCCAACCTAAGAGGTAATTTTTAGCCATAGGAAGAACCAACTGTGATAAATCTATTAAACTATAAAACTATTTCAGGGAAATAAATAGTTGATTGAGAATATGGAAGAAGTCCATAAAATAAAATGAATTCATTTTTTTAATGCTTTTCCTGTGTTTTTAAGTATTGTTTGGCTGAACTAACAATTTTTCAACTGGATGTTTTTCTACTCTGTAGATGCTACCTATTTCATTTACAAATTAGAGCTGCATCATTTATAAAATGGAAAATTGCATATAAAGAAGCAGGTAAATTTCTTTCTACTTTCAATTACAGTCAATAATCTTTTTATTCCCCAAATGGATATAGTCTAGCCTTTAGCAGTGCAATATTTTTAAAAATTACATTTAAAAATTTTTCTCTGTACAACCTTTTTTTTTTTTTTTTTTGAGATTTCATTTGAAGTCATCTCTACACCTAACATGGGGCTTGAACTCACACTCTCTACTGACTGAGCCAGCTAGACACCCCTGTACAATTGTTTTAAATTACATTAGACTACATCTTCGTTATCCATTCATCTGTTGAAGGACATCTCGGCATACAATGGAATATTACTCAGCCATCAGAAAGGATGAATACCCACCATTTGCATCAACATGGATGGGACTGGAGGGGATTGTGCTAAGTGAAATAAGTCAAGCAGAGAAAGACAATTATCATATGGTTTCACTCATATGTGGAACATAAGCAATAGCTCAGAGGACCACAGGGGGAAGGGAGGAAAAACTAAATGGTAAGAAATCAGAGCGGGAGACAAACCATGAGAGACTCTGGACTCCAGGAAACAAACTGAGGATTGCCAAAGGGGGGGTGGGGTAAGGGGATGGGGTGACCAGGTGATGGGTATTAAGAAAGGCACGTGTTGTGATGAGCACTAGGTGTTATACACGACTAATGAATTGTTGAACACTACATCAAAAACTAATGATGTACTATATGTTGGCTAAATGAACGTAAGAAAAAATACACTAGGCTAATAATTTTAAATATGGGATATATACTATTGCTAATATTAAATTATTATCATCATTGCTGTGATCATCCATCCTAACAAGTGCTTTCCAGTCTGCCTTTCCTTGGTTGTTGTGGTATGGGTGTGGTGTCGGTGTTTTTAATATGCAGAACATAAAGTAAACAAACATTTTTTTTCTCCACACCCAAAAATAATCCTTATTTATTCGGGGCAAATGAAAAGGTAAACAGCTATTCTGAAGCCTGGACTTGATTGCCACCAGGCATAGATTATACAAAACTTAAAAAAAAAATGTCAGGGGCAAGTTTGAGCAAAGGAATCCAACTATTAATATCACAGTTCATCTGCTTTGCTATATAGGATGTCTATCTGCTTCCAAAACTTAAAACTAGGCTGACCCACCCACACAACATACAGATGACAACCAGCAAGAATGGGCTTCTGGATACTGTATCACTATATCCTGATGCCTGGACTCATGAATTTGGCAGCTGACATGACAGAATTGGGTTGGCTCTGTTGAATTCCATCAAATACTTATAAGCGGTTATGATGATGAGTGGGGGAAAATATTGCTGGACAATAGCATCTGTAATAAGTGCGCAGGTACAGAAATGCAGAGAAATTACTGTAGACAAGCTCAATTCATCCAGAGGGAGGGCAGAATGTGGAATTCTGCCTGCATGGAATAATTTTGGGATTTCTGGTATGACCTTGCCAGTGAAAAAGAAGAGAGCTTTCTTAGTTCATATTTTATGTTAGAAGTCATCACTTAAGACACTGAAGGACAATATCATTGCAAACAATGCCGAGGGGGGTTATATTTTAAGAAATTAAATCATCTTAGCTTTAGAGGGTGAGTTAGAAGTTTAAATTTCATCTGGCTTCCCGGTCAATGAAATAATTACAAATATTTCATTGGTAGTAGCGTGTGGTGTATGTATAAAGGGTAGGGGATGTTAATATAAACCAGTACCCATAGAATTTCCCCCTTTTACCTCTTCTTTTCTCCAGATCTGCTGCGATACGTATGAGGACACCAAAGGCAAATGCCCTGAGAAGATAAGCCGACTGAACATAATTGGGATGGGACAGGGGTTGGGAGGTCCTGGGGAGAAAGAAAGCAAGATTGGGAAGAAATTCCTCACAGAGTAGGACTTTGGAGAGACACAGGGGAAAGAAGTCATTCTCGAAGCAGGTTTATTGTGTGATGTGCTATGTAACCTCAAGGGACTGCCAGGAAAGATTTTCCTCCCTTAAAGGCTGGCTTACAGTCTATTTTGTGTTCCTAATGGGAATACCAGCAAGCTAAGATGGGCCATAAGGACTGCATCTGGGTTTATATCTTAGAATGAATGGGTTTGGGATCTTTTGCCTTGCACATATTTTAGGAGGAAGACACATTTAAAAAGAATATGAGGGGCGTGGGCCTGCACGCCCGGAGCCAGCGCGGTGAGGACCATGTTGCTTCCGAACATCCTGCTCACCGGTACACCAGGGGTTGGAAAAACCACGCTAGGCAAAGAACTTGCATCAAGATCAGGACTGAAATACATTAATGTGGGTGATTTAGCTCGAGAAGGGCAGTTGTATGATGGCTATGATGAAGAGTATGAATGCCCCATTTTAGATGAAGACAGAGTAGTTGATGAATTAGAAAACCAAATGAGTGAAGGTGGAGTTATTGTTGATTACCATGGTTGTGATTTCTTTCCTGAACGCTGGTTTCATATAGTTTTTGTGCTGCAAGCAGATAACAGTGTATTGTACAAAAGACTTGAAATAAGGGGTTATAATGAAAAGAAACTAAAAGAAAATATTCAGTGTGAAATTTTTCAAGTTCTTTATGAAGAAGCATTAGCATCCTACAAGGAAGAAATGGTACATCAACTGCCCAGCAATAAACCAGAAGATCTAGAGGATAATATCAATCAGATATTGAAGTGGATTGAGCAGTGGATCAAGGATCATAGCTCCTGACTTATAAAACTGGCCACTTTACAACCACTCTTGTTATATCCCTGCCATAATGAATAAATTGTCCAGTTATCAGTAAAACTTTCTTATTAAGATTGTGCTGCAGGACTAGTAGATGGATAATCTAAAGGTTTATGTTTGGGCTTTTTTTCTCCACGAGAAAGCAAAACATTCTCAAGTATAGTATATATAATATCATTAAGGATTTAAAGTAAAAACTGTCATCTTAAATGCTTCAACTGCTGAAGAATAAATAAATCTGACCAAATGGGTGGCTATCTTCTAAGCTGGTTACAAAAGAAAATGAAGGTGATCCCTTAAAATAAAACTTAAGACTAAGGATAAAAAAAAAAAAAAAAAAAGAATATGAGGGCACATAGTTTTGGAGGAGTCAGGTAATGCCCTTTATTATGGGGTTGCCAGAGTTAGCAATTAAAAAAATATAAGCTGTCTGGCTAAATTTGAATTTCAGATAAAAAAACAAATAACTTTTAGCAAAAGTCTGTTCCAAATATTGCATGGGACATATACTTATACCAAAAAAATTGTTGTTTATCTAAAATTCAAATTTAACTGAACATTCTATATTTTTATTTGCTAAACCTCGTGATCCTACCAGAGGGTGGAATCAAAGGTAAGCACGTCAAAGATAGACAGAAAGGGTATAGACTGGGCAATATCTGTCTTCTCTGTTTCTAAAATCAGAATGTAGGGGTTCCCGGGTGGCTCAGTTGGTTAAGCAGCTGCCTTTGGCTCAGCTTAGGTTGTGATCCCTGGGTCTGGGGTCTAGCCCGTGTTGGGCTCCCTGCTCAGCCGGGAGTCTGCTTCTCCCTCTCCCTCTGCCCTTCCCCCACCTCATGTTCTTTCTTGCTCTCTCTCTCGCTCAAATACATAAAATCTTTAAAATAAATTTTAAAAATTAAAAAAAATAAAAAAAAATCATAATGTAATTCTAGCAATGTTACCAGTTCTCTCTCTGGTTTGAAAAAATTAGAACTTTTAAAGTAGGGAATATGAATGTTACTAAGTACTAGGTGTCTGGTAAGAAGGATAGCATGTTAATCTGAAATGATGAAGGCCCACATGCATATAATTTAGAAGAACAAAATCTATTTTTTCAAAAGCTGATTCAATACAGTTTATCACCAAGAGCCATAAAAGCTCCAAATGACTTTCTAATTTATATAAAATTCTTTGTGAATTTGCCTAAGTATACATCTGCATTTATTGAATTTCCAAATCCACAATATACTAGGAGATCTGGTTGTCATGTCAACTTTCATGTACTTTACTGAGAGATTCTCTTATTTTTCTTATTTTTTAATTTATTTATTTATTTATTTTTTTTGCGAGAGAGAGAATGAGAGAGAGCACGAGAGGGAGGAGGGTCAGAGGGAGAAGCAGACTCCCCGCTAAGCAGGGAGCCCGATGCGGGACTCAATCCCGGGACTCCAGGATCATGACCTGAGCTGAAGGCAGTCGCTTAACCAACTGAGCCACCCAGGCGCCCCTTATTTTTCTTATTTTTAATAAAGCAATTACATAATGAAGTCAAATAAACATTGCTGCAGAAAATGGAGAAATAGAGATATTTTGTATGTCTTCTAATGTACATGGATTAATACTCACTAACCACAGCCAGAAATATCCCTTCTGGTGCCTTATTACTGAAGATATGACATAGAAAAAATGAACTATTAAAAGATACTGCCTTCGCTCCCCTGGTTCAAGAATCATATTGAATTCATATTCATTAAGTAGCCACAAAGTGCACCAGGGATGTGAGTGTCTTTTAGGTGAGGACACTGTTTCTAGGAGCAGTTGGCCCATGATATTTCTGCACATCTAAAACATTTTTTAGGGGCACTTGGGTGGCTCAGTCAGCTAAGTGTCTGCCTTTAGCTCAGGTCATGATCCCGGGGTCCTGGGATCGAGCCCCTTGTCAGGCTCTCTGCTCAATGGGGAATCTGCTTCTCTCTCTCCCTCTCCCTTGATGCTCTCTCTCTCTCCCAAATAAATAAATAAAATCTTTAAAAATAAAATAAAACGTTTTTTCATGAAGCTTCAACCCCAACTAACACTACTATTTCTACATGGGTAATAATGCTTGCCATAAGTTAGGAACAAGGGGATACCAATTATATATGCCCTCGTCAGAGACAGCAGTTCAGTTTTTACTGTCAAAGGGACAAAATACTACTACCTCTTATGAAACCCATTTCCCTTTGCTTTCAAAGGTCCCCCTGCCCTGAAAGTCAGTGTGGCAGCCAATCACTGTTATGCGTATACTTCCTGCAAGAGTAATAATAATGATGATCATGATGGCTAATAATAATAAAAAATAATATAAGAATCAAGGTGATGAGGAGGAGGAGGAGGAGGAGATCAATAGCAGATACTTACTGTTTTGGTCTACTCAAGCTTCCCTTCCCACCATTCTTTTGGCGATTATACCTCCTATCCTTTGGGAACCTCTGTCTCTCTCCTTCTACAGTTTTAGTGAACGTATCAGTTATACTGTGCAAACACACACGCATATACTCACATGTCTCAGAGATTGGCTCAGCAATGATCAAGTGACTCAAACCAGATCAACCTCAGTTTTAGGTTTTGTGAGTTTGCCTTTCAAAGACATGACAAGACATTTCATAGGCACTGAGAGGAAAATACGTCTTCTCTTCCTTCTGGAGTTGCTAAGCTAAGATTATGAAGACTTAAAGTTGTCTCTAGTCATGGCCTTGTCCCCATTTAATCACTCACTTGCAGTGGGATCATAAAGCAAATGAACATTTGGGAAGCAGAGATGACACTCTCAGAGTTCCTGGCATCTCCAAGACCAGTTCTTTACCTCAGTGCCCCATCCTAGCCCCATGACACATGAACCAATAAATTCTACTTTTTCTTAAGCTAATTTAGGATGATCTGATATAGCTACCATTTATCAAGAATAAATTTAGTGCTCTAAATCATATACTGATATGACATATATATGTAAACTTGCAGCTTTCTATGCATATCCAAATTCTAGGTTGCAAGTAGCAGGACACAACTAAAACCATTATTCTCAAAATACATAACACATTGGGGACGCCTGGGTGGCTCAGTCGTTAAGCGTCTGCCTTCGGCTCAGGTCATGATCCCAGTGTCCTGGGATCGAGCCCTGCGTCGGGCTCCCTGCTCCGCAGGAAGCCTGCTTCTCCCCTCCCTTCCCCCTGCTTGTGTTCCCTCTCTCGCTGTGTCTCTCTCTGTCAAATAAATAAATAAAATATTTAAAAAAAAATACATAACATATTGGATAAAAATCATAAAAAAATAATTCTTTTTTTCCAATGGCCTATTTACAATGTGCTAATGAGCCATCAAAAGGAATGAAATCTTGCTTTGCAATGATGTGGATGGAGGGTATTATGCTGAGCAAAATAAGTCAATCAGAGAAAGACATGTATCATATGACGTCACTCATATGAGGAATTCTTAATCTCAGGAAACAAAATGAGGGTTGCTGGAGTGGTGGGGGGTGGGAGGCATGGGGTGGCTGGGTGATAGACATTGGGGAGGGTATGTGCTATGGTGAGCACTGTGAATTGTGTAAGATTGTTGAATCACAGACCTGTACCTCTGAAACAAATAATACATTATATGTTAAAAAAAAAGAAGAAGAAGAAGAAGATAGCAGGAGGGGAAGAATGAAGGGGGGAAATCAGAGGGGGAGATGAACCATGAGAGACTACGCACTCTGAAAAATAAACTGAAGGTTCTAGAGGGGAGGGGGCTGGGGGGATGGGTTAGCCTATGACGGATATTAAAGAGGGCATGTTCTGCATGGAGCACTGGGTGTTATACACAAAAAATGAATCATGGAACACTACATCAAAAACTAATGATGTAATGTATGGTGATTAACATAACATAATAAAAATAAATAAAAAATAAAATAAATAAAATGTGCTAATGAAAAGAAAATCCCTTTTTGTGAATTGTTTCATCAAATTCTTAGGGAAGATTTTATTGGCTAGACATGGGTCATACACCCATACACAGAACTCTGGCCCCCTAGGTAATGAGGCCATTCCTATTGTCAAGTCACATAGAATAAGAATAGAAAGAGTGATTCCCTAAAGAGATGCTCGGCAGACCAAGAAAATAAGCGTATCACTAAAGCAGTATCATTTCATTTATTCCTCTTCTCATCCTTATAAAGTAGATTTACTCTTATTTTACAGATTAAAAAAACAAAAATAAAAACAGCTTCATAAAAGTTCAGTCATTTGCTCAAGTAACTCGGGTAATATGAAAAGTTGGATTTCAAACTCAGGTCTATCTGATTCCAAAGCTCCCTCTCTTTTCCACCACTGTCCAGGGGGGCAATGGAAGGAGGGGCTGGGCTTCACTGGTACCTGATTGCCTCTGTGGTTGTAGCAGAGAAGTCAGCACATGATTGCATGGTGGCATGGAGTGAACATTCGAGAAGAATCTGCTCATCAGATTTGGAATCAATCATTTTCTGCCCAGAAAATGACTGAGGTCATTACATGAAAGAAGGATTTTACACTGTCCTTCTGCCCTAATGAAGACAGGCAAGGAGAACAGAGGGTCAGGGAGAATAGGTCATCAGATAAATAGTCAAATACCAAATTAGTGAAGAGAGTCGGTAAAGAAAAAGGAGTAGGATGAATCTGGGCAGCCTCTAAGGAATTTAACTCAGGAGGCAGATTTTAAGCACAGTGCTTCCTAGGATGATCCAAAACAATTATTTCCTTTCCTATTAGTTCCTAAAGATTCTCTAAGCATTCATTTCCTACAAAAGTCAAGAGTGATCATCCAAAAAGGTTTCCACCATATTTAACTAGAGATGGAACTCAAGACCCACAAATCAAAATATTAGACCTTTAGTTGCTGGAGGCATGAGAGGAACCTGTGAAAGGAGTCAGACCACCAGGGCAGAGGAGTGGGTGGAAGACGTGGGGCAATGGCTGTTTACCAGTTAGTAGGGTAGTAGTCCCATATTTTAACAAACAGTAAGACCATCCTGGGTGCTTGCCCGCTGACTAGTCTTTGGCTTCAGCCCTCTCCTCATGAAA